GAGTTGTTGTCGTGGGTGTTGCGGGTGATCGGAGGGGGGTGGGGGTGGCGGGGGGGGGGGGGGGCGGTGGGAGAGCCGCAAAAACTCGAGCTTAAAACTTACACTCACTATTTTCTTCGAAAATATATGTGAGCTCCACAAAAAGTAGATATTTTGTAAAAGAACAAAAAAATACCAATAATTATATTAAATAACAAGGAGATAATAGATAGTCCATTCTACAGATGTAGATTTCAAGAGTTTTATCCAACTTTTTAAATTAATCAATCAATGGGCACATATTCACATCATTATGCAACATATACTACTAAGTAGATGCTTTTGTATTTATTGTTGATGTTGTATTCACTAAAGTTACATTTCTTAACGTATTCTTTGATGGTTTTTTCTTGACTTATAGGTGTTTTAAACTATTATTACTTCCGGTGCTGATTTGTAGGCGAATATTGTGCTTTATTGGATTAGTATTGATATAGTGTTTTTCCCATAGACTCTTTAATTCACGCTTAAAATTTAACATTGGACCAATTCGAAAATCAAATGTACTTGAATTTTATTTTTGTTCGAATTTTGCTGTTGATTGACGTTTGAAGTCGTATTCTGTTGTTATTATTTTACTTGTTGTGTTGGTTGAATTAATAGTTATCGATGTAATTTCCCATATACGTCTTTTTTTAAGTGTTCCATTAAAGACAAACTATTATTTTTTTGAAAAAATTCTTTAAAATGATAGGAAATAAATTTTGGTGGATAGCCATTCAATAGTAAAGTAAATTCAATATTCACTCGTTCTTTGTCAAAATCTTCGATATTGGAACAGAGTCAGGTTGCTCGAAGTAGTTGTGCTTTGGCAGTACTACGATGAATATGACGTGGATGATTTGATAAATACGGTAAACTATATGGTTCAGCTGCTGTTTTATGAAATACTGAAGTTCTCAGTTGTTCATTGTTATTTTCCTCTAATACATCAAGAAATTTTGTTGTCAAACCAATTGATAGACTAATTCGAATATTTTCATCTTTTTTCTCTATTTTATTTAATAGAATATTACTTTTATTTAAAGAATTTGTTGTCATAAAGGCGTCATCAATATACCTATTAAGAAAAGAAGCAAAAAAATATCAAGAGAAAACTAGAATATGGAAAATAAAATAGATTATAAAATATACCGGGCATAGATTTCATTGTGTATTCTTTGATATTCAATTAATGATTGTTCCCATTCCAACATATAAATATTAGCTAATGTCATTGTAAATGGTGATCCCATGGTTCCTCCACGGATCTGTTGATAATATTTATCCTCGTAGACGAAACGATTGGTATCTAAAACTAAACGAGCAAGTCGCGTTATAGTATCAATTGTCATTTCATTGATTCGGCTATTTTCTGCATGTTTATATACGAATTTTTGTAAAGCAAATATAGCTTCATCTCGAGGTATCATCGTAAATAGATTAGCTACATCAAAAGTAAAGAATATTGTTGTTGGCAAGAGACGATCACTATCTCAATAGATTCCCATTTGTCGAACAAAATGTATGCTATTAATAAATATTTTTTCTTTTGATACTCGATCGAAAATTGAATGAAGTAAAAGATCCAAAAAGTATGAAACACTAGTTGCTGCCGCTTTGATCGACGAAACAATCGATCTAAGAGGTGTTCCAATCTATAGAGAACAGAGAAGAAAACAACAAATATTTCATCAATTTATGTTTATTCGAAGTTTACTTTGTGTGACTTTGGTAAGAAGTATAGATGAGCTAGTTCAATTGTCTCTGGATTTGGTCGCATATATTGTTTCCATAAATTCAGATTTAAATCGCCTTTTTTCAGCATTGGATCTATTAACGCTAAGACTTTTTCTACATGCTCATGACATAGATTGATACCACTTATGAGTCCCTTATATGAATTCATTTCTTGCATGTATTGGAATGCTGTTTGATGATAATCATGAGCACTTCCTCAATGGAGTACTTTACTGTTGTCAGTTGGGTGAGGGTGAGGGTGAGTTTGGTTCATTTCCAATCATTCTGGATGAGACACATGATATCCTCTCATTTTATCCACAATATACACACACATAATAATCCTAAGAAGAAAAGCACGGAATCCTGAAATCCAATGGAATCAAGCGAAATCCTATAGAATTTTGGGAGAGTACCAGTAATCACTCGACTTCTACGACAACCACTTA